GTCTACGATTCCGTCAGCAACTCTGGAGGCTCTTAGAGGACTACCATGAACATCTTCAGGTGCTTCAAAGAGCTGCCAGGTGCCACCTACCTGAAGGTCGGCGCTTTGCGAGGATACCTGACTGGGAATTTCTGATGACAATGTGTATTTCTCTTGCTCGCCTCCCCTCGGTCAACAGTGATTTACCGTGTCCTCGGGAACAGCTGAGCTTGTATAGACGCTGGTGTGGGCTGATGAAGGCCATGTCTAGCAACATTACCTTTCTGACTTCGAGGCTCATTAGCTGGTCGTGTGACATGGGCAGGGCCGACAAGATGGAGCAGGTGTCTAGGGATGTCTCTAGCTCGCTTCTTCAGAAGGAGTTCAGGAAGGCGTTCGGGCAGCTTAGATCCTTGGGTATAGGTTCTACGAAGAAGAGGCCCGCTAGTCAGTCAGCTCAGGTCCTCTTGAAGGATGAGACGCCAGCGCTGACGCCCACGGCCTGCCGTGAGCGATGGCTGGAACACTTTGCTGAACAGGAGCTTGGCTTTCGGATGCCCGCCCGCGATCTGTTGCAGTTCGTAGGAGAATCACGTGCGCCGCTTGCTTCACTGGACCTGTCTGCTGCACAGAGTTTACCGACACTTGCCATGTTTGAACTGCAGATGCTGAAGACCTCCAGCGCCTGTGCCAACGGTCTTGATTGTGTCCCAGGAGCTCTACTCAAAACATGTGCCAAGGAATGTGCACGACTCTACTTCCCCCTAGTGATGAAGTACATGTTGTGTCTACATGAGCCTCTACAATGGAAAAGCTCGAGGCTAGCTGACTTGTACAAGGGTCGGGGTGCGCCTAACAAGTGTGTCTCCAGCAGGTCTGTGGCCATAGGTCCGCAGGTAGGCAAGCGTGCTCATGCCCTTGTTGCTGGACGTCTTCAGCCTTTTCTAAATGATTTTGCCCCTGAGTCACAGTGTGGAGGTATCAGAGGACGTGGCACGGACTTTGCGGTGCACATGGTTCGATTGATGCAGGAGGACTCGCGTATCCGATCGGAGTCGATGTCGACGCTTTTCGTGGACCTGGAGGCCGCTTTTCATCATGCTATTCGTGAAATTCTCATTCGATTCGAGGGGGGGGATACGATCTCTGATGAGCGCATTGCTCAGTTGTTGCATGCCTCTGGTCTCCCGCCATCTTCCATGGACCTGCTGGCTGCCGAACTTGCACGGCCGCCGTTATTTGAGGAGCTGGAGGTTCCTGCCCATGTGCAGCGTGTTCTCTCTGAGACGTTAACGGGCACCTGGGCTACTACCCAAGGGTCAGGCTCTGTCGCGATCATGACCACTGGCACCAGGCCAGGCAATACTCTAGCTGCGCAACTCTTCCTCTTCATCGTGTCCAGGAGTATTCGTCGCACCCAGGAGCTGATCCAGAGTGAAGGGCTACACAAGGAGTTTAACGTGCCGTCTACCAGGACTCTCGACCCCCTCGCTCAATGTGATGCCCAGGTTTCAGCTAACGATGTAGAGTACAGCGACGACAGCCTGTTCAATGCGTGGGGGCCTGCATGTGCTATTATTGCTCGCACTCGGGCCCTTATGGCTATTGTTGCTGACTCCTTCACCCCGCTGGGCCTCAAGCTTAACGTGGGGCCCACTGAGAGCGCCCTCATGGTCACCTTCAGAGGCCCTGGGTCTGTTACGGCCCGAAAGCAGTTCTGGATCGAGGAGGAAGGCAAGGTTTCTATCCCGCCTACTGGAACTCTTCCCAAGGGGCTTACTCTGGAAGCGGTACACACGTACAAGCATCTGGGAGGGATGATTTCTGACAAGCAGGACCTGGCCCCGGAGCTGGCCTACCGCGTGTCGTCTACGACGTCGTCGCTTCAGGCCCTTCGGCATGTGGTCTTTCGCAACCAGCAGCTGTCTCGTCAGCATAAGCTACAGCTTGCAGATGTGCTGATCATGTCTGGCCGGCTGTACAATGCTGCATCATGGCCACAGCCGACGACGGCGCAGTTCAATCGGTACCGGGCTGGTATCGTGCGGATTTATCGGTCTGCTATTGGGAGGCCAGCTTATGATCAGGAGGCTGCTCCCGATACGGACGTGCTTGCTACTGTAATGAGATGTGATGTGGATATTCTGTTAAGATGGCATCGTCTCCGTTATCTCAGTCGGCTATATAAGTATGCTCCTAGGGCTCTCTTTGGGCTTATCAGGGCCACTGCGGAACCCAAGCACTCCTGGTTCAACCTTGTCTTGGATGATTTGAGGTGGCTACGCACTCGGGTTTCCAGGCTGCGTGAATTTCCTAGTCCGTTCTCGGAGTTCGGAGCTTGGGAGAAGGAGATTCTTGGGCGTGGACAGCACTGGGCTAACCTGGTTCGATCTGGGGTGGAGGCACACATCCGTTGGGCTTGCCGTATTGAGGACGCTCGAGCTCGCACGCAGATATTTTTTTCAGCATGCTGCGCGTATTGGTGTGCCACCAGATCTATCTCTGACGCCGGCACCTGTGCCTGCTGTGCATCGCTGCCCTTTCTGTGAGTTCGAGTCGGCCAAGTGTGCTGCGGTGAAGATGCATATTGCTCGGCTTCATTACCAGCAGCGCTCGGTCGCTGCCAGATATGTTCACAGCCCTACTTGTTCTGTCTGTCTTGTTCGGTTCAGCACGGTTGAGCTTTGTATTGACCACCTTGCGTATGGGAGCCCGAATTGCTACATCACGGTCCTCTCCAATATGGTCCCTGAGGCTCCTGAGGTTCTGGAGATGGTTCGGGCCCAGGAGGCCTCTGACAGGAAAGCTGCTCGGAAAAAAAGGGGCTATGAGAAGGGGGGCCTGGCTTCCTGCTTATCGTGTTCCTGGGCCTCGTAATGTTCCTCTGCTTTTGTTTTTACCATATCGGGATGCCTGGGAAGTTATCCGCTCCATGGCCTACCAGTTTGAAGATGTTCCTGAGCCCCTCTATGAGACTCGTGAAATGGACCCCCGATATGAGGCCCTGCCAGAAGATGAACATCAGTTTGAACCGCTTGCGTATGCTGGCCCTTCTGCCGAGCATTGTCCTCGGCCGCTGCAATATGCTGTACTTGCTTTTCTTCACCTGTTCTCAGGAGCTAGACGTGCTGGAGATGTTCAGGACGAGCTTGAGAGAGTTTTGGTTTCGGACCCAGTGACTATCATCATTATTTCGTGTGATGTGGCCTGTGACGCCGTGAATGGGGACTTGACCAGGGCCGACATTGTTTCAAAATGGGATCAGCTTTTGAGAACAGGTCGGGCTATAGGTTTGATTGGCGGTCCTCCCTGCGAGACATGGTCAGCAGCGAGGTGGCAGAAACTCAGAGCTGCTGACCGTTATCGTCCACCTGCTCCCCTCCGTACTCTCAAACATCGTTGGGATAGGCCTGATGTCAGTCTCCGGCAACACCAACAGCTCTCCATCGGCTCTCAGCTCTTGCTCAGCCAGCACCAATTGATGCTGACCTGCCTGGAGGTAGGAGCTTGTGCACTGAAAGAACACCCTGAGGTTGCTCACTGGGAGGAAAGGGCACCCAGTTCGTGGCAGTCTGCCACGTCGTGTGCTCTGAGTGCTGCTCCCCCCTCTCGTACGGTCTCATTTGACCAATGTGTTTTCGGCCAAGTGAGCAAGGCCCCGACGACGTTTCTGTGTATTCGGTTGAGTTCCCTCGTGGAGGACATTTTGAGTCAAGGAAAAAAGGGAAGGTGCCCACATCCGAAGAAGACCCACACCACCCTCCTCGGCATTGACCCGACCACAGGAAAATGGCGTACGGCTCCCAAGAAAAGGTACCCTCAGGACCTATGTGCTGCCATGGCCAGGGCTGTTGCCCAATATGTGGAAGAGGCTTTCAATTTATGTGATCCCGATGATCTAGATTCTAGTGAATTACCTGACGAGCTGAGTGCCTTCTTTCAGGCTCTTGATTTATATGCTGCAGACACCGCGGAAGGTCAGGCTGAGATAGCTCTTGATTTTGCTGGTTTCAGATCGAAGGGGCCCCGGGACACCCGTTTCGACCGCCCCCTGGAGGGTGTTGCCCCTCCCCCACTGGCGGGACCTCTGCAGGCTCCTGTGGAGCCTGAACCCTGGCCTGTGGAGGAAGAGGATCCGTGGGCGGAGGAAGGCATGCTCCAGTCTCGTGAGGCGGCTGGTGTCCCGTGGGATCCCCAACCCCCTCCTCCTCCTCCTCCTCCCCCCCCCCCCCGCCCGTGTAGAGCTCAGTGACGAGCTCAGACGCCAGATCCAGGCTCGGCGGGATCAAGCACGCTTCCGACGTGCTGTTCGGCGCTCGCTTCCTGCAGGAGGCCTCTTCTCTTCTGCGAATATGTGTGGCGCGGTGGGATAGGGGCCCCACCTTCTTTTTTGTTGATGTATTGTGTCTCTCTTGCATAGTGCTTGATTGCCTTTATATCTGTGGGGTAGGCTGACCATGAGCCTCAGAGAGTCAGAGTCAGAGTCAGAGAGTCCTCCTCCTCCTCCCTCCTCCCTCCTCCCTCCTCTCATCTCCCTCCCCCTCCTCCCTCCCCCTACTCTCTCCTCCCTCCTCCCTCCTCCCTCCTCCCTCCTCCCTCCTCCCCCTCCCTCCTCCCTCCCGCCTCCCTCCTCCCTCCTCCTCATCCCTCCTCTCTTCCTCCTCCCCCTCCTCCCTCCTCTCCCTCCCTCTCCTCCTCCTCCCCTCTCCTCCTCTCCTCCTCCTCCTCCTCCTTCTCCTCCTCCCTCCTCCTTCCTCCCCCTGCTCATTCCTCCCACTTCCTCCTCCTCGCCTCCGGTCTGGCAGGACCCTGGAAGGGGGTCCGTGACTGGGCTTTACTTCCTCTTTTTAGTGTAGAGCTGTGTCTGTGAGCAGACGCTGCCTCTTTAGCTCGTTCCTCGGTCCTCCTCCTCGCCTCCCCC